TTTTAATGCATTGCAGATTTCAGATTGCAATCCCAAATAGATCACTTTGCCATACAGGTAATCCTCATTTAGCAACTACTTCAGATAGCAAATGCCATTACAATGGCAATGAAAAAGTAACTTGTTGAGCAGTGCCCACATTTGTGACCACATTGTCTTTCCCTTAGTTACATATTCACCATTAACAAATCAGTAGACATTATCCTGTGTCCTGGGTTGCTTTTTCTTTCTCCCTTTGCAGAGAGGGAAATGCTTAGATAAGTACCGATGCCATTTATTTCTCATTGCATACCTGTTCACACTCGTATAGTCCATTTATCTCCAACTGACAAATACACATATATTAATTCCTTTCTTACTAGTTATTCTAGTACCAGGAAGAGCATCCCAAATGCTGGGAAAGTGAAGAAAAGGGGCTATAAGATTTTACCCAGCTTTCTCATGAGTTGAATTCTGGAAATATTTCTGCCATTTGGGGTCTTAATTGTTTTGAAGCTGTAAAGCAAAGGAAAGATGACCACAAGTCTTAGTATAATCCTCTCCAGAAACAATAGAAAAGCCAAGCCACCCAATACTACGGAACAATATCTTTGCCAGGATTCAATCTCAACTTGTTATACCATCCAGATTCTTACAGTATTTGCATAGCAATTTAGAATTAGCATCTTTTTTTATTCTATATGAACCAGTGGGAGAGGGAGGGAACCATCAGCAAACTGGTGATATTTCCAGTGGGAGAGGGAGAGGGAAGGAACCATCAGCAAACTGGTGATACTTCAACCCAATTTGATGACAAACTTTCTCCAGATATTTCACAAAAACTAATTACAGATGTTAGACAAAGTGAGGACACCTGAGTTCAAGTTTTCCTTTGTAAGAGGTTAGCAACCAGCCCTCTCCTAGAAAAATGAAATATCCTAGGAAATATTGAAAAGGCAGAATATTACATTTCCCTGGATGTGAAAAAGAAGAAACATGTTTTAAAGACAAAGTAGGTCCCTGCAGCTTCCTGCCCATCCCCTTTGTCAATGGGCCATTAAAATGCCCAAGCCAGTCCCTTTACATAGTAAACAGTTCTCCCCTTCAGCTCCAGGGCAATGGGATTAAGGCATGATTAGCCTTTACACACTTGCCATGTGGCATTTGAGAACTCAACCAAACCTGGATTCAAAACACAGCCTAGAGAGTTGCCTCTGCATGGCCCCGTGGAGTCTGGCAACCAATCAGAATACATTTCTTACACAGGAACAGAAAACAGAGAGGTGGGGCCAAACAGTTTATAAAAAGCCCAACAAGCCCCTTCCTCGGCCCTTCTCTTCTTTGTCACCCAACATTGAAGTATGTGGTCACCTTTTCTGTTCAGGACTCAAGTCATGTAGTCCTGTCCACCATTAAACCATCTTTCCAAGCAGCCTCCATGTCTCCAGTGTCTTTTTCCCTACTTGAAGCTGAACCCAGAAGGACATTTCTTCCAACACCTTTATGTATAAAAGGTAGCTGGATGATCGTGAGCTAGTTGCATCGGATCTCTCTATGCAGTCACCAGAAGTCAAAGTCCATTTGAAAGAATGCAAACAATAGAAGCCTTATATAGATTTTAAATATTATGGTAAAGAAAAGGAGCAATATCATGTTAAAACTGTACCACTAAATCCCAACCTAAATAATGATTTCTAACTTTCAGCCAACATATTTTTCTTCTGCTTTCAATTCTATTTTAGGAGCTCAGTCTATACTATCCAGTAATCTACATACATGGTAGTGTCGGTATCCTGAGATAATTTAGCTGGATCTCACTGACATTCTTTGAGCTGATGTTCTAATTCTCATTTACTCCTCTGTAAGGTTATTCCTGTGTAACTGCCTTTGTTGTAGCATAAGTGTAGGCATGCATAGCTATGCTGGAACACGTATACAACAGCAGTAATGATTAACCATACCATAAGGTCAGTAATACAAACTGCTGACTCTGAAGCAGTAAGTAGGTCAGAAGTCACAAACTGTTAACTCTCAGCACTAAGTAGGGGTCAAAGGTTTGCATGCTGACTCTGCAGTATTAAGTAGGGGTCAGAAGTTTGCATGCTAGTAAAAGATTTATTTGCTGACTATGGGCATTCTCTAGGTTCAGAGGTCTACATGGAAGTAAATGAGTTACCATATACCATAGACTTGTACAACCATGATTGGTCCACATGGACCTTGCAACTCCACCCTTTCCTTGTGTATGCTCAATAAAAGAGTCATCCAGACTATGCTCTGGGTCGTCTCATCCCGAGAGAAGACTTGTGTCCGAGTCTTCCTTCATCATTGGCCTCATGGGCGACCCGCGGAGAAATCGCATGCCTTGTTTTAGGAATTTACCCAACATCTGAGCTTCCAACTGCTATTATGGCAGGTTACAGATGATATAGTTGAAGAACCCACTGCTTTTTTGTGTCACCAGAATTCCCACCCAATTCCTTGTTTTGAAAGAATGGAGTGATGTGCAGAGTGACTATGTCTCACCCCAAATTTGTGATTAACTGTGGCCTATTACCAATCTTTGTGGTCTGGAATGGAGAGTATAGAAATCAGTTTGAGTAAAGTTTGGGAGTCTTTTGTAGAAGGAATCAGTGCAAAAGAAGAAAGGAGGCATCAACACTGAAGGCCTGGCATGTGATACCTTGGATCAGCATATGCTTGGTGGAATTCAATGGTGATTATAGCACCCAAGATTGTTGCCATTGTGATATCAAAAAAATAAAATGTTCTAGGGAGATTACTAATAAGACACATAAGGGTGATGCATTTGGTGAAATGTAAACTGAGGTGAGCCTAATCTAAAGAGAGTGTATAGATCAGAGCTGTGGTGGAGGAATACCATTCCTGGTCAGCACTATCGGAGGTATTTCAGGCTACCAACCTGAATCTCTATCAGCTTACTTATCGAAAATGAAGCTAGTAGAAACTGTATTTGTACTTGAAAGGTGTAAGAAGGGAAAAACCAACCTGAGTGGTTCACCAGATTGTCAGCTTCTGCTTGATAGTATGTTATAATAAGATATGTTTTATTAACTATTGGATTATTGAATATTTTGTGTAGTGAATTGCTTCAATAATACCTTATTGCAGGATGTTTTAAGTGGGGGAAGCATTCTAATCCTAGTTTCAGAAGGAAGATATGTATAGCAGCGGGCACTGGAGGGGCCATTCCAGGGAAAACAGAATCACCCATGTAACCTCAATCCTTACTTCCAATCTAATGACTCCAATCTTGAATCCTAGAAGTCTCAAGCTCTGAAGAATAAATGCCTGGTTTGTTTATAATAAGGTTCTACTCATCTATGATTTGGTAACATACATTGTAAATGTAATATATATTGCAAACTTTGTTAGGCAAGAATGATGATGTATGTCAGATTCCTCATTACATCGATGACACCCAACATGTTATTGAAGAAGAGCTTAGATTGTTGTAAGATACTGATGATAATGATACTGTTTAGATCAGGGTTATCAAACTCCCAGCCTGGCATCGTCATGTGATGTATTGGGATTTTTACCCCCCTTCGCTAAACTGGGGATGGGCATGGCCAGTATGTGACGCTTCCAGCCCGTGGGCAGGAGTTTGACAGTCCTGGTTTAGATTAAAGCCTTCAGGGATACCTAATAATAGGACGCAAGACATGTGTCCTGTCCACTATTAAACCATCTTTCCAAGCAGCTTCCATGTCTCCAGTGTCTTTTTCCCCACTTGGAGCTGAACCCAGAAGGACATTTCTTCCAATAGTACAAAGGAAAATGTAGTTTTACTTTGCAACCTATGATAATAAAACAGTTGGATAACTTACCAGTTTCTGACAGTATAATTATTTCTTCAATGTTAACAAATTCTTAAAACTACTAATATATTGAAGATAGATAGATAGATAGATAGATAGATAGATAGATAGATAGATAGATAGATAGATAGATAGATAGATAGATAGATAGATAGATAGATAGATAGATAGATAGATAGATAGATAGATAGACAGACAGACAGACAGACAGACAGATAGATGGGGAGGGGAGAAAAAGAGAGAGAGACCACAATTTTGTTCGTTTTTCTCTGTAATGTATATGGGTGTTTTTCATTTTTACGAACTTTTAAGATGGTAGACTTCAAATTTCAGAATGCCCTAGAGTAGACAGATTGCTGTCTGTAGAACTCTTGAGAGTTTAAGTCCATACATCTTGAAAATGCAAACACTTTTCCATGGATGCAAACTTTGGACTTTGAAGAAGAAAGAAAAAGTTTGCTGTTGGAAAAGACTCCTGAGAGTATCATAGACAGCCATGAAAATAAATAAATAGATCATAAAACAAATAAAGTCAGGATTGTCATTCAAGGCACATGAGACAAGTATCAACCTCATATTATAATATTCTTTATACATGGGAAGACCCATTCACATTGAGAAATCTGTCATGCTAGGAAAAGCCGAAGGAAAGTGAAATTTGGTCTAGTGGTTAAAGCACTAGGCTAGAAACCAGGAGACTGGGTTCTAATCCCACCTTAAGTAGGAAAGCCACCTAGATGACTTTGAGCCAGTCGTTCTCTCTTAGCCCAAACCACCTTACAAAGTTGTTGTGGAGAAAATAGAAGGAGGAAAGAATATTAGGCATTTTCACCCCCATAAGTGTTATTTGTAAAAAAAAAAAAACTAATAATAAAGAAGGGATATAAATATAAATATCACTGATTTCTAACAAAAACAGAGGTTAGTAATCTCCATCGTAACTATTTCTCAGAAAATAGCAGAGGAAAATCTAATGTTCTTGGTCCTTTTTTCAGTCCCTAGGAGTTCAAAGGCAGTGTTCAATCCCGCCAACCGAGAGACCTAGATGAGCTAGTACTAGTCATTTTAAATGGCAAAAGACATCTTTGGATCGCCAATCATATCCCAAATGACGCTGACGTTCAACCCGGAAGTCGATTTTTTTTGACATTTGTCTATTTTTGGGATCTCTGTCTCAGGCAGGAGCTTCCGCTTCCTACAGGAGTCCCGCCTTGATCAGGATGAGCGGAGGAGGGAAGAAGCGCGACGCATCTGATGGTAACGCAACTAGAAATTCAAAGAGGGTGTTGCGCGGATCCCTAGTCCTCTTCCGCTTTTCATATATACAAGGCAAAGCGCGCTTATCGTGAAATCCGCTTTATTAAAAAAAAAAAAAATCAAACTCCCTTGATTCCAGCATTTGAAAGTCCTTCGTGATGAACCCAACTATAGGATGCAGAGTGTAGGATCTTCGCATTCCCCTTCTTTTTTTTAACAGCACCCTAATCGGACATTTCCCAAATTTTACATTTCCCACCATCCCCAGGAAATGTGTGGGAGTGCTGCTGCTTTGGAAAGACTTATAGTGTTTGTTTGATATATACTTATTCTGTAACTCTTTACTTTTTAAAAAAGGAAATTAAAAAAATATCAGCTAAAAATGCAAACTAAGAAGCAAAAGAAAAAATATTTTTATACTTATCAATGGTCACTGGTCTACCAATGAATTTGCTATTGTAATATAAATAATACAAGATATTATATTGTAAGATATCACAGTCTCTATCATAATAAGACATATTGCTGGAATATTGACAAAGCTGTGTGGCATTTAGTAGCTTTGCAGTAAGCTTCTCTGCTTATGGCCTTGCGGCCTAGTATTTTTTTTTAACAGATGGAGAATGTTATTCGTTCTCCAAATGTTAAACTATATATGAGAAAAGATTCTTTCTGTTTTTATGCGATTTCCTCATATGCTAGCCTGTCATTATAATTTTCCTTTCCCCTTTTTGATTTGGAGAATGTGCTGCCATCCTGCTACGTTATCTTCAGGAGCAGAACCGGCCTCATAGTGCTCAGGATGTCTTTAGCAACTTACAGAAACAACATGGATTGGGCAAGACGGTAAGACAAGATGACAAGCAGTGTGGGACTTGTGTTAGCTCCAGTGGTCAAAATAACATTGCACTTCACTTTCCAAATGTATGCTATGTATCTTTTAAATTCTCCAAATTGATTGGGTATTTTAATTTAACATAATCCTAATCTACAAGAATAATGAATGTTCATAATATTCATGACATGAACCACCATTGCAGAAACAGATTGGTTAAGAAATACTTTAGTTTCTCTGCTTATGGCATCAGTTTTTATTTGTACTGTGTTATGCAGTAGGTTACACTTTAAGCCAGTGATGGCGAACCTATGACACGCGTGTCAGTGCTGACATGCGTAGCCATTTGGGGTGACACGCACAGGATTTCATGCGATTCATCCTCGGCTCCTGCACGGCCGCCGAGGATGAAAGAATCTGTGCTGGAGGAACGGGGGGGGGGGGCGGGACGTGTGATCTCCCCCGCCCACACTCACTTACTGTATCGCCGCCGCCCCTTTCTGAGCGCAGGGGCTGCTAGTAAGGCGTGTGTGCCGTGCGCACACATGTCATCAGCGCGGCGAGGGAGGACCCGCAGGAGAGGAGCGCGGGAACAGTGCGCGCCTCTCTCCAGTCAGGCCGGCACAGAGAGTCTACTCCTGGGACTGTCGGTTACGACCGCACCACAGCAGGGAACAGCGGAGTGCCAACGGGAACTGTGAGCGCCATTAGCAGCAACTATTGGGGTGCCATGGACTTGTAATTGCCCACAATAACTGAGATAAGTGAGGGGGAGGTTGTGTTAGCTTGTTAGGCTAGTTAACCCCTAATTGGCTATCTATAATTCTATCTGCTGTCACTGGCCCACTGATGGAGCACACAAAAAATAAAAAACAAAGGTTAAGTAAAGGGAGTGGTAGTGGCAGTGGCCGACCCTTTCAAGAGACATGGAGTGAGATGTATGGCATTATAGAAAAAAATGGCAGATCATTTTGCGTTCTATGTACTGAAACGGTAGTAAGCAGAACGTGGAATATAAATAGACATTTTGAAACTAATCATTCCCAGCTCTTGGAAAAAAGTGAGGATGAAAGGAGGGAATACATTTCCAGGAAGCTACACCTTTATAAGAGCCAATCTAACTCCATCCTTAAATTTATGAAAGGCTCTACAAATTTAAACTCTGCAAGTTTGAGCATTGCTCACTCCATAGCTTAGCATGCAAAAGCGCTTAACAAAGAAGTTACTAAGCAGGTATGTTAAATAATTTGTTTTTGGTTTATTAAATACAATTATATATTGCAATTATACATTTTTGTAGTTTAAACTATAAATTGCGCAAAATTATGTTTTTGTCGAAATGACACACAACGCGAGTTATGCTCGATTTTTTGCCGATTTTTGACACACCACGCCAAAAAGGTTGCCCATCACTGCTTTAAGCAGACATATTCACATATTGGCATTAGCTCCCAACTACCTCCACCACCTGGGTTGGCAGATTTCTTCTGAAATGCCATGTGTATTTTGAACAATTGTGCTCAGTTCTCCTATAGCAACTAATTTTCTCTGTCAAATTTTAATCTTTCTTTGATGTTCAAACAATTTGTAGTTTTCACTTTAGTCCTCCATTTTGTTGTGAATTTTTCTCATTCTGCTTCTTTTGTTTTCTGTTTGATTTAGGCTGTAGTGAAGGCACTGGAGCAGTTGGCTCAGCAAGGGAAGATCAATGAAAAGGTTTATGGGAAACAGAAGATTTATTTTCCAGATCAGGTGAAATGCCATTCTGGGAAACTTAAATTTAACTTCTATCACTCCAGGGGAAAAAACAGAAACAAAGCCTCAGCAAGAAAACTAATTCTCATTCAGGACTGTCAAAATTTGTGTGCTTTTCTAAAACCGATAACCAATATCAACAACCAGAGCTATCTAAATCCATCTTATATACCAGCTGTTACACATCTTCAACTTTTGTTTTCCAGAGTCTTTTAGTAACTTAAAAGACTGTGATGCCAGCCCAACACTTCTACAAGTTAGAATTAACTTCTGATATCAGTTTGTATTTTTTAGCTAGCTACATTAAACATTTGTTTGGGCTTCTGTCTGGATATGTAAATAGCCAGCAGAAACAGCCAGCAGGAAGATGTGTGGTAGCTGGTACTTAAGATGGATCAAGGTAACCAAGTTTTGCGGCTTGGTGAGCCAGCTGGGGGGGGAGGGGAGAGGGGAACTGGGCTGAACTACAATTCAAGCTGCGCATGCACCTGCCTGGGTGCCAGCCCGCCATATACGAATTGAGTTATATGTATCCGTGTGTGCGCCAGCCCACCACTTGAATGAATCAAGCTGCACATACACGCGCATATTGCCAGCTTGTGGCCTCTTTGCAAATATACCACAGTCTGGTAATGGGCTGTGGCCCAAAGATTAGAGACCCCTGATCTACACAGCTCTGGTTTTTGATGCATGGCTGGATGCACGCCATGAAGGTATTGGCCTGGGACATAGGAATCCCACATTCACATTTCTTCTTATCCCCCAAGTGACTTATCCCCCAAGTGACACAGCCAGTTACTGTGTCCCCCAACGAATCTCATGGGGTTGCTCTTTGCAGGGGTAAATTGAAGGAGGGTGTGCCATAATTCTTCATGTGTTCTGAGTTTCTGAAGGAAGGTGGGATAGAAATATAACAAAAGAACAATTACATAAATAAAAATATTAGGTATCAGGAAACTAAAATGGAAAGTTATTACCCTCTAGTAGAGGCATGTGATTTCCCAGATAAGTCCATTTAGCCAGCAGTTGACAGAATACTGAACTAGATGAGAACAGTCCCCAAAAGAAACCAGCATGGCTGCATAAAGAACTCTCTGACAAATTGAAAGACAAAAAGGATAAATATAAAAAGTGGAAAAAGGGGGAC